GAGAGAGTTGACTAGTTTTTGGCTGGGAATGGGAACTGGTAACTGATGATTGGTAAGTGGGAACTGGTAACTGCTTAACTTGTGTAGCTGAGAGAAGACGGCTTAGAAGAGAGACTACTCTCTCTCACTTCCAGCTGACGATAGCAGCTGTCCGATGTGAATTGGGTGAGTCATTTGGCCAAGACCCCATCACACCACCACCAACCACTCCACCTTCTCCTCCACTACCACCTCCCTCGACCACCACACAGGGGGGGCGACGACAACTGACATTAATGTTTCGCTGATGAAGACAAAAGCCAGAGACACAAAATAATAATAATAATAATGGAAAGTATTTAAAAAGAGAGACGCTTCAGCTGGACAGGTAGATGGATGGCAACTGATGACGGGCAATCACATGTGGCTAAATGGATTAAAAAGCGGCCAAGAGCGAGCAACACAGCGCGAGAGCGAGAGGGAGAAAAGCTGGGCACGTAAATGAGCCACAGCCGGAACTTGGCCCGAAGTCAAGGTAAACTTTTATGGGCTTCGTCGTTACTCACTTTTTTTGTTTTTTTTTTGCCTTCTTTCTGTTTCTGCAATTTAGCATGCGGGTGAAATTGAAAATACAATACAAAAACTACACTCGAAGAAAACCCATAAAAAAGTTGGTTTTATGTGCTACCTGTATGTGGTAGCAATTACTTTTGGTTAAAAACAAAGGAAAATAGTTCATAAAAATGTAAAAAACGAGACAAATGATGGTCTTATTTTAATGAACTTTTAGAGGGTAAGGGGCTTGGTTTCAACGTTTTTAGGTCGAACTTAACGAGGCTCTAATGTTATATGGGCAATGGGAAACTAAATTCGAAAGAAACAAAAAATATCAAAGATATTTTTTGTTTTTTTATATAGAAAGAGAGCTATATATCACATACTAATGACCAAAAGTTTTTCCGGATACAAAGACAACCGGATATTTATGTTACCCTATTTAAGCCGTTAGATTTTTCCAGCTGGTGTTACATCTATTGTTTCTGTTCTTTTCTTTTCTCTTTGGCCCCACCTGCAATTATGTTGAAAACAAGTTCACGAAGCTGCCAAGTCGCCCATTGTCATCTTTTTGGCATCAGTTTGAACCGAGTTGTTCTGGGAAATGGAAATTTCCGTTGACCTTTGTAGCTTTGGCATTGCTATACTATAACCCCCCCTCGCCTTGGTGTTCCAAATTTCCAACATTTGCCATACGCCGAACTACTAATGGCCAAATAATTACAGCCAGCATCTGGCCAACTAACGTTATCCACTGGCTACCGTTGCACAATTGTTGGCTAACTGTGGGGTTTCGGGAGGTCGAAATTAGAAGAACCCAGTTTGTTTTATGGCAATTGTTTCTCTTCTTAAAACGGATAATTGCTTTCAACTTTAGACACCAGACTCGAAGTGCTGCCGAAGTTGGCTTTTAGAAGTTTAATTTACTGCTTTTGGGGCGGTTCAAAGGAGTCACATAAAAACAGTTGGTGGTTCTTAAGCCAAAAGCAGTTGGGTATGGTAAAAGATTACCATCGAAATTAGAAAGAAACTCTTTAAAGAAGGCTTTAACTTTCTGCTGTACACAACATATAACTTTCTTTAAAAGAAACTGCTATTGGTACTGCTTGATGATTAATATTTGATTTATTTTGTAACTTTCTTAGGAGGTTTCCTAATCCATTTATAAAATTTCTATAAAGAAACCTTTTGCTGTTCTAATTCTTGGTATCCCTGAGAGCTAATTGCCCGTTCTCCATCGCTGACTGGCTGGCCGTCAGGCAATTGTAATGAACTTGAGCCGAGTACCTTGATACGCCTGATGGCTGCACTAATTCGAGCTTGATCCGGAGGCGCTTTGTCTTTGTCTCCTCGACAGCTGTTCGGTTACCTTTGTCAGTTGGCCAGTTTGCCAGTGAGTCAGTTAGCCAGCTCGTCAGTTAGTCAGTTCGTCAGTTTGTCAGTTCGTCAGTTTCATTAAGTGGTCCAGTGCGTGGAGTGTCAATGAACGACGGCGGCGACAGAAGCTTGGGATCGCTGGAGCACCTGTTCTCGTTTGAATACCAAAGCCTAAGGTGCAGTGACAGCTGCGGGTTAAAGCCCAGATGATTAGCAGTCAGAACTAATGGATGGGAATGGAAAGCCATAGTCTCTGAAATGCTCAATCTAGATTCCTGAGTTATATCAGATAACCTCTATTTCTTGCTCTCTGCAAAAATTGATTGCTCGTAAATCGCAAAAATCAGCAAAACCTAAATGGGCTGGCTATAAAAGTCTGGCATACGAAGCATATTAAATTGGGACAGGAAATTAAAACGTTAGCGACCAGCTGGAGCAGAAACGGTAACAGCAACGGAGCTCTCTCTCTCTTTTTCTGGCCATATGATAAAGGCCCCCAAATCGGTGGCCAGCATATGTGGAGCGAAAAACCCAACGAGCCAAAGTTGAGCCAGCTGGCTAACGAAAGGGCATGGGGGAAAAGTTGTAGCCACCAACCAAGATTAATAATGCCCAGACATGGGCCAAGGAAAATGAGAAAAAAAAAAGTGCAAGTAACATGTGTGTATGTGCTTAACTGGACCGGAGTAGCCACCAAGGCATTTTGTGGCCCAAAGGGAAAAATATGGGATGGGAGCTGCCAACTTCCTTGGTAAATGATTGAGTGAAACTCTAACAAGAAACCAAAACCCTATTTAATCTTTCTGAACAACTTAGGGAGTGAGTGGTCAAAATAGGTTTATTTTAGTGTGACCAGGGAAGGATAGGAAACATGATGCACTTTAGTGTGGCAAAATCTTTTTAACACATAACTTTTAAACTTACTTTTCTTTAAGTTGGTAAGTTAAAAATCAAAAGCTGTTGGGTGATTCATATAAGCTGACCTCATTTCTATAAGAACAAATCATATTCCCCAACTTGCAGATCCAAAAGATATACTTAGAACACACCCCTTCTACTAAGTTCTATACAAAAATAATTAGCATAACGCTGAATTTGATGAGTAATATGTTTAAAAAGTGCTAACCAGCAGCTCTTTTACCTCCAAAAAGTACAGTTGGCCACAAAGGGGTCTCCGTTCGACCCAAGACAATATTACTCATTTATGAAGACTTCTTCGAGTTTTTATATATATTTTTGTTAAATTTTTATTATATAAACCAAAGCAAATGAGACAATCAAAACTTTTGGGCGGTATTATTATGTAAATCGTGAGCTTGGGGTTGGGGTTGGTATAGAGGGGCCTGGTAGCTTAGTGTGCCATTGACACTCTCTGACAGGTTTATCATTATCATTTTCATAATGCGCCTCCCCCCCTAATCCGTCGTCGCCCTCGTCCTCTCCTATACAAAGTTACTTAACAAATGACTGTTGTGTTATGAGGTTCTTGCTGCCTCTTCTCACTCAGTTTGTATACCCCATACTGTTAGTCATTGTTTTGGAGGAGGAGGAGGAGAGTGTGTATGTGAGTTGCATGCACAAAGACGACCCTCAAAACGAAGTGAATAAGTTGTTACTCAGAACGTTGACTACTCCCCCGTCGTTTTATATAGTATTTTAGTATTCGTAAAGCTATTCCTATTCCTATACTATTATTATGCATGTTCATGTGTGTCAATATTTGGCTTTCTAACTAATTATCAGTTCAGCGCACTCTGCTCTCAGAGCTCGGTGGCAGAGTGTCAACGCTTTGCGGTTGTCTCACCTCGGCAATTCGGAGAGTTCGTTTAACTTTGCTTTTCAAATAATAAAGCCAACAGATAATGGCTCGTTGGTTATGGCTTTGGTTTAAATTTGGATATCAGGTAAATAAGGAAGCAGCAGCAGCAGCAGCAGCAACATCAGCTGTTTACTTAAAAGTTACAGTTTCTTTTTCTCAGAGCTCTTGCGTTTTGGGTCACCACCTAATTCTAATGACCTTCGGTTCACATTTTTCTGATACCTTTAGGCCCAGCATATGCATAAATTTTTTTAGTTGGCCACCTTTGTTTCAGTTTTTTTTTTGTTTTCTATTTCTGTTTGTTTCTTGGCTGCTGCTTGTGATGTTTTAATTGCCGCTCGAACCTTGAATTTGCAACCACCGCAGAGTGCTTTTGGTGGTCACCAAACAAAAACAATAACAACAACAACAAAAACTCTACAAAAGCCGCTTGAGAAATGCTCGTAATTAAAGCCATAAAAATGAGTAAATACCGCATTTATCTTTAGCTCTGCTCTGTTTTCTGCGTTCTTTATTGTTCAGTTTTTTTTTTTTTTTTTCGGCTTCCTTTGTTCGACCTCTGACACGGGTATCTCTTAAGTATTTCCCTAATGCGGACAAATTATAACTTTGTGCAATTCTCCATGACTCCGACCTTAGAAAGTTGATCCGCAGTAGAGTGAATGCTAACGAGCGTAATGCTGATGCCAAATACATTAATAGTGATAATTAGAAACCAAATACTATTAGGCAGGCACATTCACAAAAAACTTGGATCATAAATCATTCTGGAAAAGGAGTGTGTAATAAGTATGAGGTAATTCATGGATCACATAGGGAAATGTAGCAGTTATGACGGGAAATCTAATCAAATTCACAGCTGCTGTGTTACTCTTTAAGCCTTCCAGTGATTTTTCTAATTCTAAGCTTAAATCCAAACCCCTTAAACCTTAAAAATATCTTCCAATCTCTATTTTAAATTCCTGTTTTTTTTAGATATGTTAATTTATAGAATCTTATGGGTAAGTGCTATAAGAAATTATCTAAAATTGGGCAATTAATAACTTGGCTAACAATATGATTGACGTATTCTAACTGGAAACCCAAACTACACCTAAATCAAGCGAAAGAGTGAAAAACCTGCTAAAAAGACCGGATCAGAAGGGGACTACCCCTGGTCTATTATACAACAATCCCACTTTAAGCCCACAAATCATACAGCTTCTATTGTTCGCTGAGAATATTAATAAATTCTAAATCTGAAATTTGAAAATGTCAAATCGAAACTTACGCAACCAATCCGCCTAAGAAGGCAACTGGACCGCCGCCTATCAGGCGGATCTTTCGATGACAGGAATCGAAGAGAGAGGTTCGGGTGGGCGCCTGCGAAGTGGGTGACATGATGATATGGCCACCACTGTTGTTGTTGTTGTTGTTAGCGTTGTTGTTGCTGCTGCTGCTGGGATAATTCCGTTCGCTTGGCCTGCTAATGAGCAGTTGTTGATGTTGCTGCTGTGTTGTTGCTGCTTTCCACGCTTGTTGTTCACTTGTTTTGCAATTGTAATTACCACTGTAGTCGTTGTTGTTGCTGGGACCACTACTACTGGTGTGCCTGGTGTTTTTACTGTTTCTATAATGAGTGTTGTTATGATTGTTAATGCAACTATTAGACAAACTGTTGCTGCTGCCGCTGGTGTTGCTGATGTTGCTGCTGTTGCTATTAATGCTGCGACAACTATCGTCGTCGTCAGTCGATGTTGCCGCCGCCTGTTTTGGCTTCTTGTTGCGCCTGAGAGCCGCCGCAAAGTTGTAGCTACACGACTCCTTCTTCTTCTTCGGCTTCTTCAGCAATTGCTCTTGATTCGAGGTTATTGCTGTTGTCAGAAATAACAAACAATTGTCGCCTTGCTGATAGGTGGAAGTTTGCTGTTGTTGTTTTTTATAATAATATTCTGTCTCATGTGCCTCGGCTGGTGTTGTTACTTTTGGCAATGCTTTTTGCTGCTGCTGCTGCCGGAAACGTTGCAACAGAGTTTTACGCTGCTGTTTGCCGCTAGATGTTGCTGTTGCCGCAGATGTTGCCACTGTCGATGATGATGTTGCTGCTGCTGCTGTCGACGTTGTTTTTGTTGTTGTTGTTGTCTTCGTTCCGAAGCCGAGTTGCACGATGTGCTGTGTGGGCGCTCTCAACATTATTCACTGTCACTTTTGGCTTTTTTTAATTTGTCACTATAATTCACTTATTTGTTGTTGTTGCTGCTGCTTCTAAGTTGTTGTTGTTGTTTGTTATTATTGTTGTTGTTGTTAACTGACTTTGCACACATTTTAATTTTATTCAGTTTGTTTTTTTCCATCTTTCACTCTTGTTTAAGCCAAACTTTCTTCTAAATAAAAATAAAACAAACATGGAATTAAGTTTCAAAGCGAACTTTCAACTTTTTTTTTTTTAGCTTTTTGGCTTCTTTTTTCTCTTGGCTATTCCCTTTTAGCTTGTTTTTGGCCAAAAAAAAATAAAATAAAAAATCAAACTTCTCTTATTTTTTGTTTGGGCTGCTAGTATGTGTCATTCACGGGCTTCAAATTTTTCCACAAGAACTAAGGCACAGTGGTCTGTGGCTATATTAAACCTGCCTTAAGCTTATACAGCAAAGATACATAGATATTGCACATAAATAAGCCAGGCAGGAATCGGTTCTAAATATACAAACACACGAAATCGATTTGACGAAAGCCTTAATCCCTTTAATCCCCTTGGATTTTCGGAAGGCTGAAATAATTTTGTAATAAATTCTGATTTGGTAATCTCGGAAAAGTGCGACGACGACGACGATGGCAATGCCAAACCATGTGCTTAAAGCTTTTGTATTTATTATTTAGTTTTAATACATATAAATGTGTATGTGCTAGCTTGCTGGTCATAAATATATATCTCCCCTCTATATATATATATATATGTATATATGTTTATATATTTGTCGTTAGAAAACGCGATCGCGTGAGTTTTTCAACGCGTTGCGTAGTTCACACAACAACAACCAAAACACCAACAAAAAAACGAAATAAAAAACACAAACAAATTCGCAATGCTGAGTGATTTGAGTAGGCGAGTGTGTGAGTGTGTGTTTTGGTGTGAGTTGCTAAGCTAAAATCCGCTTATATGTTAATTAGATTTACTAAAGAAATAAATTATAAGTTTCTTCCTTTTTTGTTTTTTCTTGTTTTTTGTTTAATGAACTTTTGTTTGGCTTTTTTCTTCACTGCAGTTAATTAATGCAAATGCCTCAACACTCGAGGGAACAGCAAGTCTAAAAGATTTAATTGTACAAATAAAAAGGGGGAAAAAAAAGCCCCATTCAGAGTTCCTTTTCACATTCGATTCAAATTGTCTCTTATTTATACTGTTTTTTTTAGTAATACTTCAAGACCTTAACTTTAACTCTTGGCACAGGCCAAAACGAAAAAGAAAGTAAGAGGCCAGGCCAGGCATCGTCATCATTCGCTGCTTACGCAATATCCCAGGCAGAAAAAAAAAAAAAGCGAAACGGCAAAGCAAAATTAAAACACATCATTAAAGAAGCACGACCAAGAAATGGGCTGGGTCTTTAAGAAACTGGAAAACCTGGAACCTCCAAAGCTGACGTAGCTGGGAAAAAAGGAGGAGAAAAAACGCAGACCAAAAATGACTAAAAAACTGCATCAAAAATATGTATGTATAAAAAAGGGATTCCGACACCCGATAACCTTCACCCAAATACCCACAATTTAATGGATTGGGTCCACCCTAGCCTTGTTGAAAAGAGAAGGGCAAGGCAGGCATCTATCTAATCAAATTGGGAGTTGATTGATTCGTTGGGTCTCTAGGTTTACCCCCTCCCGATTGAAACTATTTGGTAAATGCAAATCGATTTGTTGGTAATGAAAGAAAATCATCTTAAAAGGATTGCCAGTGATAAATCTTGACTATAGGAAGGGGTTTAAGATTTATTTATTTTGAAGCCAAATGGTTTTTAGTGATTAAGGTGACTAACATAAGTCATTTTATTAATGGCTAAACTATTTTAGATAGATTTAAAAACAAGTTTAGACTATGAATGTTCCTATGAAATAAGTAATGCGAATCTGCTTGCTTTTTGCGCAAATAAAATAACAATTAGAACTTTTTATCTGAAATTTTTTTCACATTTTGATTACTAAGAACTTATTAAAGCGGATTCAGACGTATGTACGTCAAAAAAGCCACTCAAAAAACTGATATTTTGTATAAAAAAAATCCACTTTGTTTCCCAAAAAAATAAATCCCAGATAAAGCCCTTGCTGGATGTCAGCAGAGTAAGCCCTGCTCAAGCTGGCGATTACTGTATCGCAGTGGTTGGTGTACGAGTATGACACATGGTTTTCAGTTTTATGAATATGCCACAGAATATTCCGGGGCATGACAAACAAGAAAGAGCTTATCTGCCATGGAACAACGTGCCCGATGAGCGAATTCAGTGATTCAGTGGCACGAGACAAGCGAGATGACGACTATAACGGGCAGTAAAAAATATATAAATAATATTAAACAGAAAATGTATCTTCACCTTTAAGATTGAGCCATGGCTTACAGAGGAAAAGTAAAAGAAAAAGGTGTGAAAAATAGAATGGCCACAGTTTTGACACCTCCTCCTGGGGCGCTTTTGGGAACTTTCACAACTGGCCAGTACTCGAGATGGAATTGGCTTGGCTAGATGATAATGATGATGATGGATGGGTGGTGCCACTTGGCAGGCTTAAGAAAAATCGAAAGTATATCTTATGGATTGGCAACACACTTCTAACACCCCAAAAGCGACAATGGAAAGGCGGAAAAACTTTCTATGTCTGTTAATTAGCGAATTACATGCATGCAATTTTCTAGACTCTAGACTTTTCGGCCTCGTCATGATGCTGCTCTTTGCGGTTTGTGTATATTTCCATTTTCAAGGCACGTCGTTGCTGGCCATATAAATTGCTAGAATTAAGCCAAGCTGGCAGCCATGAAAGTTTCCAAAGAAAGCCAAGGCATTAAAGATCTTGGTTTTCAAGTTTGATCTGAGATCACTATGATGATGACACTTGGGTTTGTTTTTTGGTAGGAAGTTCTCCTACAATTGACACTATAAAGTGGAAAATGGGGCGGCGTGAGTGTGCGCGCGCAACACGCTTCGAGAATTTTAAAATGAAAGTTCGTGCCCGTTCACGGTTGACAAAGCATGCGGAAATCTTCTCCAGCTCAAAACTCAGATTCAAGCCAAAGAAAAATAAATCGCTTAAGAGCAAAATAAAAGTGTGAAGAAGAGGCGACGAAGATATAAGACGTTATAAAAGTCTGGGCTAGATGAAAAAAAAAAATAATTATATTATTTTAATGTGTTTTCTCTGCTCTGCTCTGACTGGCTTTTCCTCTTGTTTTTCCTCTCTTGTTTATCCGCAGCAGCTGTCGTTTTCTAGCTGGCATTACTGTGAATTTTCAATTAAGCCAACCAGCCAGTCAGCCAGCCAGCCAGCCTGCCACTGCAAACCATTCCATTCTCCGCCATTCCTTTTCCAAACCTACTACAATACTCTGCTCATGATGATGATGAAAGCTTTCTCCACTCTGTAACCCCCTTGCTGATTCTTCAGTCTTTCGACTAGCTTGAAAGGGTTTTAAAGTCTTAAGACTCGGAGGGTACTCGCTACTCAAATACTCATTCCCGATGAGTACATTCGCTAACTCAGCGAAGCAAGAAGTGTCATGGAGTGGCAAGGTTACGCGCTGTGCATAAGCAATTAGCTTTGCGGTTTCCACTCTCAAATGGTTGATATCCATCTATCTATCCATCTATCTATCTTTCTAGAGAGCCAGCTAACCAGCTTTGAGGTCACACACACTAAGCACACACATATTAAGTAGAAATGGAAATGGAAATTGATTTGGCGCTACTACTTCTACGATCGTTTACTGGAACAGAACAGTTTCTTTCGAAGGGGAATCGCTGGAAATGGGCACAAACGGCGACCATGGCGTACTAGATTCTCTACAATATTTCACAATCTGCTTTTAAATGTCTACATTTAGCTTCTGTTTTTATGTTGCTAGTAATAAAATATTGCTAAATATACATTAGTGTTTTATTTTTACAAAAAAAAAAAATGCTTCTAGTAGTTTGTTTCTTGGATTTTTAGTCATCACTTTGTATTCAAGATTTCTCTTTATGATCTTAGTGATGGGAATTCAAATCAATTTGAAATGCAACTAGCACATTAGTTAAGCATAGAAATTAAAGCAGATCCATCTAATATCCATCCATCATAATGATTTAACAATGACTCAAAAAGACCTACTAAACTAGATCACAGCTAGAAGTATCAATAAGACCGAAACGAATCTGAAATTTCCACACTATCTGCTATAACAAATTCGTTTCTATTGATTTGTGATGTATCATCCAATGAGTTGGAAATAATTTGATTTGAAATGGATCATTGAGAGTTCTTACTAGCCTTAAACTAGTTCAAAACTAAAGATTTTCAATGGCTGTATCAAAATAAACTTGTAAACTCGATCAAAGTTGATTTCATAAACCTTAAACCTGCTTTAATTCAATAATGGAAATTCTCTTTCAGTACCTCCAATGACCCTATCAGATCGAGCAATTAGCCAAGCCCCCGGTGTTTCAAGGGCTGGGTTTCGGCTTTCAGTTCCCCTCCCCAAAAAAGAGTTGATAGATCGCCAGCCATGTGGATCGTGAGTACTTGCAACGCTTGCAGCCGTGCGTTCAGCGATTGCAGCAATTTTCACACTCCGAAGGCCACACACAATCGACGACTGATTAACGCCGATCCAAATGTGAATATATATATATACTATATATATGTAAGTAGCAAGTAAGTATATGCAAATGGGCCTGCGATTGAAAGTGGAAAGACAAAAGAGGAAAAATCGAAAAGCCGATCCGTGGATCGATCTATCTACGTGCTGCAATTGCTGGATGGGATCGGCGGCGGATCTCTCCGATTTGAACGTTTCAATTCGCTGCTGTCATCTAAAACGAAGCGAAACCTGAACGATTGCAGAGTTGCGATGTTCTCACGAGGCGAGTTACACAAAAAGCCGCACATCACGTTTCCAGCTTTAATGGGGAGGCCTCCCCCCCCCTTCTCAACGTTGCTACTACTGCTCTTGCTCCACTGTACCACGCTGTCGCTTCACTGTACTCCAATCCAAACCAAACCAAACCAATTCAATCCATTCACGACAACGCCGCGCTCTCAGGCTAAAACCATAAACTTGTGTTGGGCCCAAAACGTGAGAGAAATAAGAAAGGCCAAAACCGAAATAAAACAAAATAAAAGCCAAGAAGAGATACCCCATGAAATTACC